ACCTTACGACGCGCCAACGTATTTGCATGTATCAAACTCATTCATATTCACCAAAGACTATGAGCTTCAGACAGACAACATCGCATTCGAACCAGGTCTGCGCGTCATAACAAACACGAAACAAAACACACGGCGCTCCTACTGTCTGAGCTATCTCAACTAATTCCAATATCTCCATTGAGAATTTTATCAATGAAATTTTCAATTAATTATTAACTATCGAATTAAAAGCTGAAATATTTTAAATGTAACGACAAACCGGACAAATGTAATTACAAAATTTAAAAAATGGACAAGTTTTTTAGACGCTCCAATCCAGGCAGTCAGAATTTAATTATTTTTTCATCTAACTATTTGAAAAACCATAAAACGCTTTGATAAAAATGAAAATTATATCACGTAAACTGTGTCAAAATTAGAAAAATTTTATTCTATAAAAAAAATTAAGAAATGAAATCATTGACGGATACTAACAAAATTACTGGATTAGTAATTAATACTAATCAAATGCAGTATTGGATACTAAACAATTTTATCCCAAGTAAGCCAGGAATTAATGATGGTCTTTCAAGCTGAGCCTTCAACAAACCAAACAACTAATTCTTAAGCTATCTACATTTGTATGTATGTATGTGTGTATGTATGTATGTATGTATGTATGTATGTATGTATGTATGTATGTATGTATGTATGTATGTATGTATGTATGTATGTATGTATGTATGTATGTATGTATGTATGTATGTATGCATGTATGTATGTATGTATGTATGTATGTATGTATGTATGTATGTATGTATGTATATATGTATGAGTATACATACTTCTGTATGCGATTTCGGAGAGATGATGCTAAGAGAGAGAGAGAGAGAGAGTTATTTTTAACTTGCTTGAATGGAAACTTTTACTGCTGCAATTGTTGTTTTGCTGTTGTTGTTTGTTCATGTGTTGGTGTGTTGGTGTTGTTGTTGCTGTTGTTGTTATTTTCTATGTGTATACGTCTGTTTTAGCTTTTTTGTATGTGTGTGTTTGTTGCTATTGTTAATGATATTGATGCTATTTGTGTTCTGTTGGTGCTGTTGTTGTTGTTTGTGTTGTTGTTTGTGTTGTTGTTGTTTGTGTTGTTGTTGTTTGTGTTGTTGTTGTTTGTGTTGTTGTTGCTGTTTTATGATAAGTTTTCTGTTGGCGTTAGTTTTGAGTTAGTTGTTTGTAGTGGCTGTTGTTGTTGGAAGGAAATGTTGTAGATTGAATTGTTTGAGCTGCTGTAATCTTTTGTTGCTACTGCAAATGGGTTTAAAAATTTTTTTCAATGAAGTTTTTGCTGCGGGTTTTAATTCATGTTTGTGGATATTTTAATACGTTTCGTTTCGTTTTGGGATTGTTGTTAGTTCAGTCTGTCTCGATCG